CATCTTCATCACCATCAGCATCATCATAATCATCATCATCCGCATCAGCAGTATCAGCAACATGATCGTTCTCATCGTTGTCATCCTCATCATCATCAGCACCATCATCATCAGTATCAGCATCGTCATAATCACAATCATCATGGTCATCACAAACATCATGATCATCATTATCAACATCTGCAGCATCACCATTCTCACAACCATCATAAATATCATCATCAACATCATCAGCATCAGCATCATCAGCATTATCATCCTAATCATCATCATATGCATCATCCGTATCATCAGCGTCATCGTCATCATCATCGTCATCATCAGCAGCATCATAATCATCAGCATAATCATCATCGTCGGCATCATCATCATCACCACCATCATCATCAGCATCATCGTCAGCAGCAACATCATCAACATCATCAGCATCATCACCATCGCCATCATAATTATCAGAATCAGCACCATCATCCGCATAATCATCCGCATCAGCACCATCATCATCAGCATCACTATCATCACCAGCATCGTCGTCATCATTATTATCCAAAGCATATTCATCATCATCAGCATCATCATAATCATCATCATCCGCATCAGCAGTATCAGCAGCATGATCGTGATTATCGTTGTCATCCGCATCATCATCAGCACCATCATCATCAGTATCAGCATCGTCATAATCACAATCATCATCGTCATCACAAACACCATCATCACCATTATCAACATCTGCAGCATCACCGTTCTCACAACCATCATAATCATTATAATCATCATCATCATCATCATCATCACGACGATCACGATCATTTGTATCGCGACTACGCGTGCGCGCTGCTGTATCGGAGGTGAGGGGGTGAGATCGAAGTGGAACTGAGAGCCCCCCTACCGGGAAATCGGTTTCGGTTTCGTGTTCGTGCGTGCCGTGCGTGCGGGCGAGGCGAAGCTGCGCGGGCGGGCGAGAAGAAAGTCTCCTCCCGCTGAGCCGCGCGCGGCTGGACCAAATGATTCCTTTCCGGGAGCCGGTGGCCCGCGGTGTCCCGCCGGCGTCCCGCTGGTGTCCCGTCGGTGTCCCGATGATGATGATGATGATGATGATGATGATGATTATGATGATGATGATTATGATTATGATAATGATGAAGATGATGTCGATGATGTTGATGATGATGATGATGAAGATTGTGATGGTGGTGATGATGGTGTCCCGATGATGATGATAATGATGATGTTGACGCTGTCGATGATGATGTTGATGATGAAGGTGATGGTGGTGATGATGATGGAACCCCGATGATGATGATGTTGATGATGATGTTGCTGATGATGATGATGATGGTGTCCCGATGATGACAATGTTGACGACCCTGATGATGTTGATGATGATGATGAGATGATGATGAGTTGATGGTGAGGATGAAGACGATGATGATGGTGTCCCGATGATGATGACGAGGTTGATGATGTTGATGATGATGAAGGTCATGATGATGACGGTGTCCCAATGATGATGTTGATGATGATGCAGACGATGATGGTGTCCCCATGATGATGATGATGTTGATGATAATGATGATGACGAGGTGATGGTGATGATTTTGATGATGGTGACCGGGGTGATGGTAATGATGATGATGATGATGTTGATGATGATGATGATGATGATGATGGTGTTCCGATGATGGTGATGATGGTGATGATGACGATGGTGACGATGATGAGGGTGTCCCGATGATGATGATGATGGTGTTGATGATGATGTTGCTGATGATGATGGTGTCCCGACGATGATGATAATGTTGATGCTGTTGTTCATGATGATGATGAGATGATGATGATGGTGGTGTTCCAATGATGATGATGGTGATGATGGTGTCCCGATGATGATGCTGTTGATGATGATGATGGTGACGATGACGGTGTCCCGATGATGTTGATTGTGATGATGATGAGGTTGATAATGATGGTGATGAGGTGATGATGATGATGGTGTCCCGATGATGATGATGATGATGATGTTGATGACGTTGATGACGATGATGTTGATGATGATGATGATGTTGATTGTGAGATCGACTGTGGTATTGATAGTGATATCGATAGTGAGACCGAATGCGAGATCGATTGTGAGATCGATAGTGGGATCGATAGTATGATCGAGTGCGATATCGATAGCCAGATCGATTGTGAGTTCGATCGAATGAGATAGATCGAGTGGGATCGATTGTGAGATCGATCGAGCGAGATCGATCGAGCGAGACCGATTGTGAGATGGATCGTGAGATCGATAGTGAGACCGATCGAGTGAGACGTTGGTTCCTCCCCCCCGAACCTCCCTATCACACGAAGGGTGGCCGTATAGGTATATATGTTGTTGTTGCGCCTGCGGTGCAATCTCCGAGCGTCTGCGGCGCCGTCACCGAGCGTCGCGAAGCGGAAAGGGCGACGCACTACTGAAAGAGCCTTGGGAGATGTATTAGGCAATCGCATGGGAAGCCGTTTCGCCAAGCAATGCCAAACAGAGAGAAATCCACCCCAAAATTGAATCTAAAAAATTGGGTGGCGGGTGAGACGGAAAGAGTTGGAAAGTGTCGGAAAGAGCTCGGCTGTGAAGCTGAACGGCCATTGGCCGGGACAGCGAGGCCACGCTGCAAAAGGGAAACGGCGCCCTGCACTCAGAAAGTGCAATGGCGCCCGGAAAGGACAGCGAGGCCAGCCACTATAGCCCCCTCGCATCGCAGAAGCCCTGCCTCTTCGACGACTGCCTGCTGACAGAGACACGCCCTGGGCGCCAGCAGCCCGCTGGGCCGCCCCGTCCACCACGCGAGCGGCGCGCGCTCCCGCCGCCGCCCCTACGAGCACGGCGGCGCGCCCCCTGAGAGGGAGCCGCGCGCCCGGGCCCCCGGCTGGAGCGAGGCGCCCTCGGGCGTGGCCGCCCCGGCGGGCGCGGCGGGCGCCGCGGCCTCCGCGGCGGCGCGTTCCTGGGACTCCTTGGACCTCTGCTTCCTGCGCAGCGCCAGCACCGCCGCCCCCGCCCAGTGCGTCGGCTCGCCCGCCGCCGTCTGAGGCTCGGCGGCGCTGCCGTCCGCGGGGCACCGAGGGGGCGGCCTCCGGCCTGAAGGCGGCGCGCTCCTCCTCCGTGGGAGGAGGGCGAGACTTGATGCCCTGCAAGAGGTCGATGATGGAGACCTTGGAGGGCGGGCTCGCAGACTGGTCGGCGCTGCGCAGGAGGGCCACGTTGCGCTGCAGTGACATCGCGCGCAGCGGCCTTGCCCGGCGCAGGACTGGGGGCACGCGGTCAAACAAGAAGAGGACTTGAGCCTGAGCCGAGCTACGGATATCGGAGGTCAGGGGGTGAAATCGAAGTGGAACGGAGAGCAACCCTACCAGGAAATCGGTTTCGGTTTCGTGTTCGTGCGTGCCGTGCGTGCGGGCGAGGCGAAGCTGCGTGGGCGGGCGAGAAGGAAACCTCCTCCGGCTGAGGCGCGGCCGGACCAAATGATTCCTTTCCGGGGGCCGGTGGCCCGCGGTGTCCCGCCGGTATCCCGCCTCTGGCTGAGGCGCGGCCGGACCAAATGTTTCCTTTCCGCGGGCTGGTGGCCCGCGGTGTCCCACCGGTGTCCCGCAGGTGTCCCGTCGGTGTCCCGATGTTGATGATGATGATGATGATGATGATGATGATGATGTCGATGATGCTGGTGATGATGATGATGATGGTGGTGATGGTGGTGATGATGATGGTGTCCCGATGACGATGAGGATGATGTTGACGATGTGGATGATGATGATGATGATGGTGATGGTGGTGATGATGATGGTGTCCCGATGATGATGTTGTTGATGATGATGTAGCTGATGATGATGACTGTGTCCAGATGATGATGATGATGATGGTGACGATCATGATGA